TTGTTGTCCTTCGGTCGGTAGGCGTCCGGTCGGATCACTTCGTTCTTCAGTCATCACGATCCTTGCCCGCCATGCCCCCTTTCACGGTTGCTGCTTCTTCGCCTTTTTCTTTCTTTGGCCTGTCGGTCTGTCGTAGAAGGCGCTTGAGGAGCTGACAGTCCTTGTAGAGGTGTTTTACGGGGTAGTCGTGGTTGGTGCATGGGCTCTCCATGCGCTCGTGAAAGTGGCCCGAAGGGTCCTACCGGGGCTACGTGCCTGCTTGATCAGCCGTGTCGACTAACGTGGAGTTGGCCGGTCGGCGGCGATTCTTTCTGTTCTTTTCCCCCTCTACATGGAGAGGCCCTCGTCCTGATCCTGGCGCTTGGCCTTGCCCTTGCCTCGGCCTCCGTCGGAGCACGGCGGGGGCGGCGTTTGTTGGGGGTTTTGGACAGAGGTCCACGGTCCCGGGCCATCAAGGCTGGGACTCCGGTCGCTACTAGGTGTGCCGCGGCTCGGTCCGAGCCGTGCATACACAAGCGGTCGGTGTGGAGCGGTCGTTAGGTCAAGACGAGGTGCCGATGCGGCCTCCTGTACCGTGCTCGATGATTGTAGCGGCGATCGGGTGGAGCGTCCCACCTGCTGCGTCCCCGTTCCCCTGACAGGGAGCGAGGCCACGAGTCGGCGTCGCGATACGGAACACTCGGCTTGTTAAACGGCGGCGGTCTCCACTAGTGCCCGGAGGTTCCGGTGGATCGCCTATTCATGAGGGTCGTTCGACTCGGACAGGCCGCGCAGAAGCATTGCCGCGGCGGCGATGTTCTGGTTCGCCCAAGCGAAGTGCGGGGGATCATTCTCCCTGTCCATGGTGTTGTGCTGGACCCGATGGGCGCGACCTCGAGCACCGCTCGCCGGTCTACGCGCATGGGGTGCAACGAGGTGAGCCGAGCGTGGTGGCGCAGTCGGTGGCTGATGCAGCCATCGTTGTTGTAGTTCCTCCCCGTGCTCAAGTGTGAGCTCGAGGGTCTTTGCGTGAGGGTCTGGAGAGGTGTGAGTCCATGAGGACTCCGCTTCCGTCGGTGGGTGTCCAGGAGCGTCCGCCATGGTGCACTCCCGGGACGGACGGTGGCTAGGCACCATGTCGCCGATGCTGGAGCCGTCACTCTCGCCATCGTCATCCATGAGGTCGAGGAAATAGGTGGGAGCATAGCTCTCCATTCCCACGAATTTGGATGTGAGAGGGGGCGGTACTGGCCTCCTTTGGAGCCCCCGGGCGTATGCGTCCGTGGAAGACGCGAGGCCATAGGGGGACCGGTCGTACGGCGGTTGCGTCGGGGAAAACAGGGTTCCACCGGGTAATCGGCGGAAGATAGAGAATAGTAAGTAAATAACAGCGTGTACATTACTCACAGCGGGGTTTGAGCAGAGAGTTTGCTCGGAAAGAAGCGCAGATGCCGCGTCGTCGAAGTCGTGCGTCCCGGAGTTGATGGAGGGCGCCCCTCCGACGGGTGCCGGGACGTGAGCCTCCTTGCGGAGGTGCAGTTCAACGAGCCAGTCAGCGACGAAGTCTAGGCTTCCGGAGAGGAAGGCCTAGGATGGCTCGAAGACGGTCGGGACCCGTATCCCAGCTGGTGAGAGCGCGGGAAACTCCAGCGAGCCGAAGCGAATAGTATCGCCCGAGCCCACCATGGCGAGGGTGGCGGAAAAGTGGGCCATCCGATGACCAAAAAGTGTTGAACGTACATCGTCTTCCCCACGAACGGCGCCAACTGTCGGTGCAGAATGTGACCAACTAGTAAATATTTGTAGTTTTGCCGTACGTTGTGATCGGAGGTGGCCTAGCACTCAATGACATAGGGTTTATACTGGTTCAGGCAACGTGCCCTACGTCCAGTTTGGGTCGGTCAATGACTTTATTCCTGAGCCCAGGTGCTCGAAGTTTGCAGTGGGGTTACAAATGAGAAGGAGAAAGATGGGGTGTACAAGAGGTCCAGTCGGCTCCGGTCGGAAGGGCCAAGAGCAACAGGAGCTACGCTATGAGCCAAGTGTTCAAGCGTGTGCTTGGGTACGAACCCGGCGGTTCTACGGTTGTGAGCTGATGAACTCGATCGATGTTGGTTTACTCAAAAGGACTAAAGAAGCTCTCCCCTATTGGAGGGAGCGCATCCCCTTTTATAGATAAAAGGGATGGTTTTACAAGTGAAAGGGTGAGGGTACGTATGCTACTGGGCTCTGTCGCCCATGTCGACGGGTACAAGATAATGGTAGGCGCGTACAACACTGTTGGTCGTCACTGTAGAGTGTGAGATGTACGTGGGAGGTTGCGTTGCCTTCTTCAGAAATGGCAGACATCGGTACCTGCAAACACTATTGATGCCTAGAGGCATGTGAGGAGTTTCACCACGTTCACCTGGTACGATAAATCCCGGCGCCCACAACACTATCGATGCCCAGAGGCATATGGAGGGCCTTATCGTATGGGAGTTAACGGCGCCCACAATACTGTAGAAGGAAATGTCGGTGCCTACAATACTATTCGTGTTAGGGTGGTTGCAAAATACTGTACAGGGTATGGTCCCCGGTATCATGGTTTGACCCTGTGCGCCCTGGCTTGCTTTTTCTCTTCGTCGCCTGGTTCCTTCCGAGCGGACGTTCCTGGTCGGATGGCCCCAGTCGGTCCTGGTCGCGCCAGTCGGAGAAGAGTGGTGAGCAGGGTTTCTGCGAACCCCGGTCGGAGACGCGGGGTCAGAGTCGGAAGTAGCGCTTTGGGCCAGCCTTCCGATCGGAGAGGCCGTCTGGAGGCGGCTAGAGTCCGTAGCGAGCGCTCCGGTCGGAGAGGTGGGCCAAAGTAGTCGACGAGCGGGCGCTGTACCTCTTCGGCCAGACCTTCCAGTCGGTGACTGGACCGCTCTTTCAGCCTGTTGTTTTAGATCCTTGGGCCGGCCCATGAGTTGTGTGCTGCCCGCTTGGGCCGAGCCTTGGCGTGGAAGCCGGTCCCTGAGGGACCCCGGGTTTATGAACCCGACATACCTAGTAGGATAAATGTCCAGGATCGACTCTCTTGGCCACGTTCGTATTTTCAAATTCGACGTCCTCGTCGAACGCTGAACCAAGCTACCTAGTAGGATAAATGTCCAGGACCGACTCTCTTGGCCACGTTCCTATTTCCAGTTCTTCGACCCAAGTGTCATGCCCTCACAGCAGCCATGCACAACCTATCCAGGCTTCCAGACCATACGCAACCGTAAAACCGTGAGAGTTGGATCTGATTACCATTTGTAACGCCCCGACCCAGGAAGACGGCTAAGGCCCGCTCTACACGTTGAATGAACCACACCTGCTAATTAACTCTCTTGCGCTTTCGTCTTCGCTTCGCGCAAAAGGATCGATCCAGAGTTAACAGCCTCCCAAGTCTAGGCTTTTAACTTGATTCAGCTCTCCTTCAACTTTCGATATGTACTAAAGTTCGGTCGCTACAATGTTGGTCTCGATCCCTGGGTCTCACACCGTAGTACCTGCATTCCCCGCCCCTTGCCATGCATTTGGGCAATCATCTGGCACCCCTTTCCACTCCACGAGAAGCCCATTCTTCATGCTGGTGATGTAGTCGTCCCCATTTCCATCGGGAAACCCGAGAAACGGCACGACAGTGAAGAGGCAGCCCGGCGGAATCCCTCCCTAGATGTCGTGGCTTGAGAAATTCCGGCCGTCGCTGAGCCAGACGAAGGAAGAGGCACCACTGTTGTTGCAAGGCAGTCTGTGAAACCCAGACGAATTCACCGGTGGTAACCCCGTGCACACCCCAAGGAAGAGCAATTCTTTGTTGGTTTTGTTGAACACGAATGCAGGCGAGAAGAGCGAGATGTTCATCGTTGGCGCTGGGCAGCCGGTGCGTAGGGGGAGGTTGTGGTCCACCACATGGAAGGAGGAGTTGTTGGGGAAGATACTGAGCACTTCATACGCCCGGTACACGAATTTGGTCAAGAACGCGCGGTTGCTGTTGCATTTGAGCTGGAAGGACGGCGGTCTGCAAGGTGGCTTGCCGGGCTCCTCAAGCCAGAACGGGTAGGTGATGTTGAGGTCCCCGCATGTCTTGGGCCAGCAGCCTGACGACTCTGCCGCGCTGGCCCCCGGCGGCGGGAGGAGGAAGGAAGTGAGTAGCAGGAGGAGTGGTTGCATAGCAGATTGGGGATGGAGGGGGTGTCAGCGGCAGAGTGGCTTGGATTTCGGAGTTCGGCCAGAGAGTGAGGGAGCTCTCACCTCCGGACCCGGACAGTGAACAAGGAAGGGAATGGAACGAGGGACGGCCGGACGGGACGGATCAGGATCTTATGATGAATTGATGATGACGACGGATCAGGATCTTATGATGAATTGATGATGACGACTTTGACAGGTCGATGGTCCACTGCTCCACGCGCGCTCCAAGTGTTTGATTAGTCTCGTTTTCTTTTTTCTCTCTTTCTGAATTTCTTTAATACGAGTATAGCAGGATATCTCATTAACTTCTGTGCTGCTGACTCCGGACAGCGAAGTGGCGGCGGCTAGACTAAGCGCCTGCTCCCTCTATGTTCATAAATAAAGTCGTTTTGAGGTTATCAAGTCAAATATTTTAAACTTTAACTACAAATAAATTCTTTTTGGTTGAGTTTGAAGATATGAAAGTGATGTAAGTAGATTCATCTCGAAATATAGTTTTATAAAAATATATGTTGACTATAGTTTATAAATATTTTATAGCAAAAAGTAGCGGTCAAAGTTGTTTTTGAGACCATGTTGATGTCTAAGACGACTTTATTTATGGACACGGAGGGAGTACCGGCCACCGCGGTTGGGAACGACAAGAGGCGTTTCGCTACGCCCCCTATCAAATCAGTGGATAAACAAGCTGCTTGGTGGTTTGTGTTGCCAGGTCGGTGCTTTTCGATCTATCCTGAGGAGGCTCATGTTCTTGTGGTGTGTGTGGTGTCAGGTGTGACGGTCTGTCGCGCTCGCTACCCAGTGCACAACGAATGCAATTCTCTCTATGCTATTGTTCCAAATGTAAACTTACCTGCCCGTGGTGACAACGGTGACGGCGACAGTTGCCATGTCAAGAGGAATCCCTCACTGATGAGCTCCATGTAGTTTGCTGGGTTCACCTCGCCGGACCTCGCAAGCATCAGCACGACGGTAGCGGTGCAACCCTCCAGGAAGTAGCAGCCGGACACATGGGGACCCTTGGTGATGTCAACCAACGTCTTGTTCACGCATGCCGTGTCCACAAGCCCGCGGCTCTGCCGCACTGCCTGCATCGGCGGCTCCATGCAGTCGTAGAAGATCATGTTCTGGTTAACTGGGCTGACCGAGAACGCGGGGGGGGCGAGTTCGGAGGAGCTGATGGTTCGTCGGGGAGTGGCAGGGCTTGGAGGCGGAACTATGGAAATCTTCAAGCTTGTGGAGATCGGCGATGAGTACGGAGGAGTTGTCGTAGAAGATGTCGAGAATCCGTGGCGAATATGTCCTCGGCCCGAAGTATGGGGTGTTGTTAGAGCAGAGAACCTGGAAATGGAACCCGATCATCCCACAGTTGGTCTCCGTTGCGTGATCGGCGACGATCCCGAACGGGAAGGAGATGATCATGCCGCCGCATAGCGCGGGCGAGCAGAGCTCTCCTCCTTGCCGGTCCACTGCCGTCGTCGGTGCCGCCGTCGCGAGCATCACAGGCACCGACCACCACGCCCATGCCGTCCAGAGCGAGGAGACGAGGGAGAGCCACGACAAGGACGGAGCCACAGCCATGGGAGCATCACAATTCACAAGTGGTGAAGGTGATTCAGAATCGATGATGGGAGATCATGAGGAGTGGGAGACGAAGAAGAGCAACAAGCTTGGAGTCATGGGAGAGTAGTTTTTCTTTTTGTGTAAGTCTAACACGGTTTCTATGATTGCACTACAGAGGAAGGAAGAGTTAAAGAGCGACGAGTTCCACGGAAATAGGTGAAGGACAATGACTTAGTGGACTGAACGAAATTGACTGACTATTTCTTGACCACTGCATTTGTAGAACATCTTTCAGCACACAACAAATGTTGTGTACTTGTGTTTGGTAGGGCTCTAGGTACCTTCTAAAAAATGGCTTTGGCTGCAGCTTTTTTGGAGAAATATTTTTTCTCAAATTTATCTCATTGGAAAATGTTCAATGAAACGGTTTCTTCTATTGTTTAAAATAGATAAAAGGATAATATTTATAATATCCTTACTTTTTTTTCTCTTTTTCTTCCTTTTTTTGCGCCTCTTAATTCTCTTTTCTTCTCTTTCTCTCCCATTTTTATCCACCCTCCCAGCGCCTTTGCGCACCAACATATGCACCGCCGCCTCCTCGCCACTGCCTCGGCCATGATAGCACCGTGGCTTCGTCTCCCTCCACCTTGACTCATCCGTCTCACGCTTGAACGCGCTCTGAACAAGTTTGTGTCAATTTGACCATTTTGTCTATGCTCGGTTCGTACAGGTTAAAAAAAACTGTGAAAATTATGAATAGCGATGTGTTTAGATTTGAATTTTTCAAAATACTTTTAGTCCTATTCAAAACTTGATATTAAAATGGTGGTAAAGACACAAAGCTCTCATGAGCAAGTTCAAATCTGGGAAAAATGGTCTTTCTATAGCTAAATTGACACCGTTATATGCTCTTAACAGAATACGAGTAAACTGAATTTTCAATTTCAAATAGCAGGGGAAAGATCATAAATTTTTTAAAAAGATAAGAGCAGAACTATCGTTGAACACCAAAATGGAGGTATGAACGTAGCAGTCCCAAAATAGAAACAAGTGTTTCGCTGGATTCCCTAGCTAATGTTCGCCGATCAGTGGCGCTGCGCAACTTACTGATGACGACAAAGCCACCAAAGTTTCAGTTAAGTAATGTTTCAAAAAAAAAGTTTCAGTTAAGTATTCATATTCTTCGTTGATGCGTCGGAGCACTAGCGAGAACAATCATAGGCGAAGAGGACTGGAGAGCTAAATAATGGCAGGTGAAGTGAAGGTGACGCTCACCAGACAGACACCAGGCCCGGCTCGAGCACTCCACGGCTCCGGAACCACACACACGCGTTTACCCGGGGTTGCTGCGTGTACGCACATTCTTGCCAAGGTCCTGGAACGTAAGCAACCAGCAAGAAAAGGTTGCACATTGACGACCTTGGAACGTTCCAGTCCAGCGGCAGCAACCTGCAGGACTGGAACGTAAGCAAGAAAAGGTTGCTCGGGTTAGACAGTGTCTAAAAGTCTCCGCTTAGCAACGAAGAGTCCAAATGCACTCTGACTAGTCCCAAAAAAACCTTGACTAGTCCAAATGCACTGCTATGCCTATTCCCTATTCCCTATTAGATCCTCGTTTGTCGGTCTTGAATTCTCGGTAAATCAGAGAGTGATCTCGTTACACTGGACGTAGTTCAACATGTTAGATTTTTCATGATGGAACTTGTTTATTGATATTTAAGTCATTGAAATAGGTGTTTATATTTTTTCTAAATTTATTATGAATTAACAGTAATATTTTTTTGGCTGGCAACTGTGCCCATCAACTGCCGTACCTTCGGTGACTCTGTTAATCTCAAATAAACTCAAGTCTTTTAAGAGTGCTCATAGGGCAGGACGTCTTTTCAAGATATTCTAAGAGCAGAAGCACATGAACGGAAGTTGTGCCAGCTAGCCTGCACGCATTGACGCCACGCAGTCTCGCACCGTCGGCCACTCAAAACGGAACCCGTTACACATGGCAGCCCACGGTCGCACGTGAGCAGTGAGCACAATGGCACAAAGGCCGGGAATGGGATGTCTCCGCACAAGTACAGAGGACAAAACATCAAATGGCTGATGTACATTTAGAATTAAATCAAATTAAATTAGAAGGTTCTACCACATACTCGTGTGTTGGGGCTGCTTTAGGGGCCGGTCGACGAGGATGCGGCTATGGTTGAGGCGAGCTCGGCGAGAGGGCCGGTGCGTCGGGCTGCTTTGGGAGAAAAGAAAAGACACGAGCAATCCTGCTATTTGCATGTAACGAGTGGTATGGTGCGTAATTTTTCTCAGCTCCATCAAACTTGGATTTGATAGAGCACCTCTTAGTTGCTCCACCAATTTGGTGAATCTTGGGACAGATCCACTATTTTGATGGAGTAGATCCATGCTGGAGCTGCTGGTTTCAAAAACGTTTAGCTGAAAAAAATTAGATCCAGAACTGGTTTAGATGAATCTAGAATTGGTGGAGCTCTACCAAATAGTACCTTAAACCATTATCGAATCAATGAATAGAAAACATAGATGATCACTAGGCCGTGGGAAGATTGAAGAAGCTCTTTATTGGCTTTGCTTATGAGGAATGGCCTAATGGCCCTGATAATCATGTTGCGTTTGGGCCATAGGATCGTAGCTATCGATAGATCTTGCATGAAGGCTACGGTACGCACAAATGATGGCAAAGGCGAAGATTTTTGAACGAGCAGGGCAAAGAGTGGAAAAGGATATGGAACGCTGTCGTTAACTCGTTACGCAATTTTATTTTACTCCGTATTATTTTTTCGGGATTGCTATATGTTGCCCATGTGTTTCTTTTGTTGGCAGCACACGATTTTTTGCTGTGTTCATCTGGCGATGGAGGGCTGGGAGCCACTGCTGCTGTTTGTATTTTGGAAGTCGCGCCGGGTATCCCATGGGTCGCGTGGCTCCCTCTCTCCCTCTGTCCCAGAGCTCCGAAAAGGAGGAAAAAAGAACTCTCCATTTCCCCACTCGCTCCCTCTCTCCCGCTCGTCAGTGGGAGTGTGCATGCGGGGCTACTAGCGCTGCTAGGGTTTCCGCGAGCACATCGCCGCCCGGCCGTGGGCGATCTGGGGCTCAATCGGCGCCCGCCCTGACTCGGGTTCGCGGGGCGAGGACATGGAGTCGTCGCTGCGGAAGCTGCGGGGCTTCGCGCTGCAGCGCCACGAGCAGCGGGTGGATCGGGACCGGGACCGCTGCCGGGGCCACTCCACCGCCGCCGCCGCCACGGCGGCGGACGAGCTCCTCGCGGCTGCCCAGGTGTGTGGACCTTGCCTCTCCCTTTCGCTTTGTGGGCGAGCGAGCGAGCCGGGTGGGTGGGTCAGTCTGTTGCGGGTGTGGAGATCTCGCAGGGGAGCTCCGGTTCCGCTTCTGGTTTTCCGCAGCAGCCATCACGGGTTGATGGATTCCGCACGATTGGTTTTGATGGCCGGTTCGTAGTTCGGTTGTTGGTGTGTGAGAGTGTGGAGCATCGTCGCCGTGGGGATTGCATAAGAAATTCTAGTGTCCGGATCTGTGCTCAATTTCACAACACACGGTTGGATGTCGTTGGGATTCCACGGGGAGGAATGAGCTTTGCTTTGGGGTTGTTTCCTGGTGCGGTGGGAATCGTCCGCTCACATTTGGTTTAGCATAGTCTTGAGAGAGAATTTCCTTTGATCTGCTAGTGGCGTGATTTCAGCTCAACTTCTGTGGTTACTTGGGAGAGTCATGTTTGCTTTGGTTTTCATTGGGAAGCATTTTCTCCTGTTCAATGAGGTGGTAATCGAGTGATTATCATGCATCGATGCTTGTGTGTGGTGTCGCTTTGGTGGGAGATGCATTTATGCATTTGGCAGGTCTTTCTGCACTAGTGTAGTGGGGGCAGTAGCAGAACTCGTGATACTTCTGAATTCCTTACAGTAAATGAAAGTGGCATTTTACCCAATTGGGGCCTTGTCTAATCTAGTTGGATCTGACAAATGGGTGCCCCATTCCCAATCAGTTTGTCCAGAAGTCTTCAATTGTTCAAAATTGAACTATTTTGTGTGGGTGACTTAAAAACAAAAAGCAGTGATAACCTAGCCCTACTGTTTACCAGCTGTATAGGTTCATCAGAATACCATAATGGATGATGTTAAAACTTCTCTTGGTTCAAGTTCTGGGTCTGCTTCCTGCTAGTTTTGTTCTGAATTGTTGCTTTCTTTGACAGGATATGACAGATATGAGGAGCTGTTACGATAACTTGCTTTCTGTTGCTGCAGCAATTGCAAATAGTGCATATGGTAATTTTCCTGTCTAAAGCCCCCCATCTTCCCGAGACCCTTAATTAAGTCCATTTTTCCCCTTATATATGTCCAATGGCATTTCATGGAAATATTAGTTATTGGCTATGTTTTCTTTTATGTTTATTACTTAGGTTTGCACGTTGTTTTTTAATATAAAATAGCAATCGCCCATCTCTCTAAAGATCACGCTGAACGTATTTAGAACATATTTCTCCTAATGATTTACTTAATCAAGCAGGAAATGCAAATCTTAAACACCTTAATTTCACCTAGCTGATATTGTGTTTGTGTAACCTCACTTCATTTGTATTTGTGAAATATTAACGTATAGATGGCGTTATATGCAGAGTTCTCTGAAGCACTTCAAGAAATGGGAACTTGTTTGCTTAAAAGAGTTATTACACCAAATAAGGATGGAATAAATGGTAATTATGTCATGTCTTGTTTTTTTTCTTTGTGAACATGCTTGTTTTGGTAATTGATGGCAATGCATGTGCATCATTATAATGCTTATTCTAGATTATGATAGATTATTGTCATTAAACTCATTAGAAGGGCAGGCCTGGTGCAGCGGTGAGAGCTGTCTCACTGAGTCACCAGGTCACGGGTTTGAAGCAGCCTCTCCGCAGATTTTGTGGGGGAAAGCTTGCCTCAGTTTTTCCCTTTCCCAGACCCCACTCATGTGGGAGCCTCCGGCACTAGGTCTGCCCTTTT